GCTGTGTGAACGCTTGTCTTGGCAAGGCCCGTGAAATTAGTCTTGTTGCCGTGGTAAGTGGTGGTCATGCTGCTTCGTTTCATTCTGCTGCTGCAGCGGGGGCTGGCGTTAGTGCTGTTGCTGCTTTGGCGAGAAGTAGAAGTTTTGCTGCTGCTACTGTTGCTGCTGCTGCTGGTGCCTCTTCTGCGGGGGATGCTGGCAGGACTGCTTCTATTGCTCCCGCTGCAAGCATTCACAGTTATACACGAAGGCCTTCCTTTGTACTTGTTGACAGGCACTCCTTGAGGCTCTTAACAAGCAACTTCTGCTGCTGCTGCCGTCGCCTCATCCCCCTTCTCTGCCGCTGCAGCAGCTGACTCTGCTTCCGGGTAGCAGCCAGCTGCAGCACGCAGTGTACATTGGGACGCTCTCCAACAGCAGCAGCAGCAGCAGAAATGAACTGCTGTCTCTAATGTTTGACAGAGGCATTGGCACGGACTGCTGCTGTGTCCCTTCTGCTGCTGCCACCGAGGAGCCTCTGGCCCTCTTATCCCTCACCCCCCACGGAGCTGTTTGGGAGGACTGGCAAGAAGCCCCTTGGCTGCAGGAGCTGCAGTCTGAGGATTTCCTGCTGCGCTGTCTCTCACTCAGCCCTCTCAAGGGCCCCTCCAGCAGCAGCAACAGCAGCAGCAGCAGCAGCAGCAGCAGCAAAAGTGGGGAGAGGAGTGCGGAGGAGCTGCTGCAGCAACTGACTCGCCTGGCCAGTGCAGCAGTAGCGAGCCAGCAGGAAAAGGCGCTGCAGCTGCGCCCTCAGCTGAGGCCCCGCCTGAACTGCTGCAGGCCTCTTGTTGCTGCTGCTTATGCAGCTAAAAAACCCTCGAAAAGGAGGCCTAGGCATTTCGTCGTGCTGGATGTGAGGCAGCAGATTGTTGCTACTTGGGGTTTTTCAATGCTTTCTTTGCTGCTTCCGTTGTCCTTTTAATACCATTATCATGCAAAGCCTTTGCTGCGGCTGCCTCGCTGCTGCTGCGCAGCAGCCTGCTCCTCTTGCTGCAGCTCGCTGGCTAGCTGAGTATACATGTTTCTGGGTGTAGCGCTGCGCTGCTGCCTTGCTGCTCGCTTCAGCTAGCTGGATGTCACCTTTTTGCTGCGTTTTCTGTGTCTGTTTTTCTGCTGCTGTCCTTCAGCGCCCCCTGACAGGGCTGTGTCTTCGTCTGCTGCTGCTGCAGCTGCTGGCGAAACTGCCGGCCGGCAGCAATTCGGGCGCGAGGGTGCAGCAGCTGTGGCGGGCCCTGGGGATGCAGCTGCACTTGCCTCTGCTAGGCCTTTCCGCCCCACACCAAGGGCCCCTGGGATCGTGTTTGCACTCGGCCCCAGGTCTGGCTGACGGCGCCATGGACACTCTCGGCGTCAAGCTGCTGCTGCAGCACCACTGGAAGCACAGACGGCACCTGCTGCTGCAGCTGAACAACCAGCAGCTCCAGAAGCTGCAGCAGCAGCTGCAGCAGCAGCAGCGTCAGCCCCAGCAGCAGCAAGTCGCCCCGCAGGCAGCCATATGGGAAATCGTGCGGCAAGCAGCAGCCCCCATTGCTCCGTCACAAGAGAAAGAGGCAGCACTGCCAAAAGACATCATTTGCAGCAGCAGCAGCAGCAGCAGCAAACTCAGTAAGCTGAAAGCCGTCTCACGACTTTCGCACAAACAAGAGAGCCTCCCAGAGTTCCGTGAGCACTCCTACGGCAGCAGTTGCTACCAGTTGCTGCTTGCTGCATGGCTAGCTAGCGGGGGCGCTGCATGTGCAGCCAGCCAAACAGACAGCCAGCTTTCCAGCCAGCTATCAATCTAGCTAGCCAGCTAGCTGTTTAGCTAGCAAGTTTGCTAGCTATTTAGCTATCCAGTAAGCTAACTGTCTGACTAGTTATCTACTTGGCGATCTAGCTGGCTATCCGGCTAGCTAGCTACTTGTGGCCAGTAGCTAGCTAGGCATCTGGCAAGATAGCAGTGTAGCCAAGTTCCTATCGCTTCAGGCCTCGAGAAAGCTGCCTGCCTCACTTGCTTCTTACTTAGCTATTGGCCCTCAGGACCTGCTTTGCTGTTTGGCAAACCTAGGCTAGTTCGGCCAGTTTCGATAGTACTGCGAAGTTCTGCTGCTGCTCAGGCCGGGCCACTTTGGCGTTCAGCAGCGCAGCTGCTGCTTCTTCATTCCTTCTGCAGCAACAGCAGCAGCAAAACGGGGCTCCAGGGGGCTCTTTGCTGCTGCTGAGGCGGCTGCCGCTGCCATTTGAGCTGAAAGTGAGCCCCCTGTGGCCCACCTGCCACTGGGCAGTTCGGCAGCAAGCGAAGGAGTTGCAGCAGCAGCTGGAGAGAGGTGTGTCCACCGGCGCTGCTGCACTAGCTGCTGCTGCAGCATAGCAGCTTCCCTTGCAGCTACAAGGCCGCAGAAGCAACACCACAGCAGCAAACAGCAAGAGAGCCCGGGGACCCCATTGCCGCCGCCTCTGTGTTGCCTCAATTCTGCTGTTTTCTCAGGAAGCAAAAGGACTCAAAAGCGCGGCACTGCCGAAGCAAAAGAGACAAGAAAAGCAGCAAACGAGACAGGAAAAGCAGCAAAAGAAGACCTTTTGTGGGATTTGCAAAAGCCTGAAGCAGCAGGCAGCTCAACTCTCCCCCTCTCGCAGCTTCCTGCATGGCACTTGAGGCGGAGAGGAATTGACAGCCAAAGTGACCTCCTCGAGCTGCTGCAGCAGCTGCACCAGGGGGCCCTGCCGCTGCCTTGCTTTGCAGCAAGTTTGGCCTCCCGCAGCACCGGCGCCGCAGTCTGTTCTGGGGGCCCCTGCTGCAGCGGCGGGGGGGCCCCTCCAGGGTACTTCGGGGGGGCCCCCCACCAGGGGCCCCCCGAGCTGGAGCTCGACCTAGACCTGATCTCGTGGCGCCCTGAACGACTTCTGGAGTTCGGCGGGGAGGTGGGAAGGCTCAAGAAGGCGTGGGACACAAGACTGCAGCAGCTGCTGCTGCGCTTTGGAATTCAAGATGAAGCTGCGCTGCTCTCGGGGCTCTGCGACAGCGAGGCCTCCCCCGCCCTCAGGTACATGGAGGGCTGGCAAGCGAAGGCAAGTTCTCAAAAGTGCTGCTGTCCTCTCCCACAGCTAACTAGCTATGTGACTAGCTATATAGCTAGCCATATAAATAGCTGGCTAGCTAGACAGATAGATAGATAGATAGATAAACAGATAGATAGATATTTGCTAGCTAGGTTTGATGGCCGGCTAGCTGGCTAGCTACGCAGTTGTGTGGATGAACAGAAGACGCGGAGGCTACTTGAAGTTGTTTCCTAGTCTGTTTATTCTTTCTGTACATGCTGCGTCCTGAACTTGGCCTTCTCTCATCCTAACATCTCTTGGTCTCATTTACCACTTTTTATCTTCTGCCTTTTCCTTTTACCTTTTTATCTCTTCTGCCTTCTCCTCTTATCTTTTAATCTCATTTTCTGTCTCTGAGGAAGCCTTCCAGCTGCCTTCTGAGTCTTTTAACTTTCCAGGTCTGCCTCTGTTGGCTCCAGCTCTGCTGCCTGTGTGGGGTGCCTTTGTCTTTATTTTTTTTATTTATTTTTGTTTTCCTTTTCTTTTTCTGTCCCCCCAGATGCGTCTCAGCGTGGAAGCTCTTTGCAGCCACTTCTGGCCTCTGCGCTTCTTTGGAAAATCTCTTACAACCGACCAAAAAAGAGTTGTAGCAGTGACAGCTTACTACTTCTCTTACGTGCCCCAAGGGGCTCTTGAGGGCTTCTTGGCAGCAGCAGCGGGGCCCCCTAGCTGCCAGGGGAGCCCCCTACAGCAAAACCTGCAGGGAGGGCCCCCAGGGGTTCCCGCAGGGCCCCCAGGGGCCCCCCCAGAACCCCCTGCAGGGCCCCCGCTGCTCACGAGGAGCGAGCTCAGGGCCCTTGAGGCCCTGGGCATTCTGCCCTCGGCACAGTTGGGGGACTCTCCCGTGCACAGCAGCGGCGCAGCAGCAGACAGCAGCAGTGCAGCAGCAGACAGCAGCAACACAGCAGCAGACAGCTGCAGCACAATCGACACGCCCAGAAGCCCGCAAGAACTCCTAGAGCAGCTCAACAAGGGGCCCCTCCAGCACCCAAATGGCAGTCCCCAGGAGCCAGACAGCGCAAGGGACATTCCGGGGGCCCCCTGTGGAACCCAGGCCACTCAGGGAGGAAGCTCGCTAGGAAACCCTTACCAGCCAGAGGAGCAGCAGCGTGAGCAGCAGCAGCAGCAGCAGCAGCAGCAGCAGCAGCAGCAGAAACAGCAAAGTCCGGGGCAGCAGCAGCACTTCTTTTCATTTGCCTGGATGCTCTACCCTAACGAGCTTAAAGATATAAAGGCACTCACGCTCGCCGCAGCCGCGCTGCATGAGCCCTAACTTCCCGCGCTACGGAGTGCTGCAGCCAGGCCCAGCTAGCCGCAGCTCGCTAGAGCTAGCTGCGGCTAGCTCCAGCTAGCTGCGGCTAGCTCTAGCTAGCTGCGGCCAGCCCTAGCTAGCTGCGGCTAGCTCTAGCAATGAATTTGCATGTTTATAAAGCTCAAATTCCAAAGACTACATTTGTATAGGCTACTCTGCTTGTGTTCAGAATTCCTCCAACAGATCCTGCAATTAATCACCTATTTTCCTAATTTTTTCATCATATTTTGCATGTATAATGCACACCCGCAGACAGCAAAGCTTCGTCGATTGGCCCAGGACGAACTTGAAAGGGAACACAGCGAAGCCAACTTCGCCACTCCTGCTAAATCAGCAGCCCATTTCTGCTTTTTGAGATAATAGTATAATAATTCCTCATCACAAAAAGCCTTTTGGGGCGCTTATTTGCAAAGGTATCTATTCATCAAGCAGCTCCCGTTGGAGAAATAGCTGGCCCAGGGGGCCTACGACAGTAACTATTTGCCTGCGCATAGGTACTCAAGGCAGATATTAAGTCAAATGATCTTTAATTTCCTTTTATGGATCTCTATTTACAAAATTCTGATATAAAATGGACCGAAAAAGCCGTGCGTGAGTCCCCCGACAGAAGTGGGCCCCTGCCTGCAGGGGGCCCCTACAGGGTAGAGGGGCCCCGCTTGAAGGGGGGCCCCTGCTCGCTGCGGGCGCAGCGGTGTCTTCCTTCGTGCATGTTTTGTGTATAAAAGGACATAAAGGATTTATTTCATGTCTGTTTTTGCCCAAGTTTGGGCTTATTAGGAGCTGTTCTGGGGCACCCGGAGGCCCCCGGGGGCCCCGTGCTCCTTTTCCGATCCTCAGCAGCAAACACATGCGTTTTCACCCCGGGACTCACCTGCTGGGACCTCTGGGGCGTATTGGGGGCCCCCTGGCCCTCAGAGGGCCCTCAGGGACCCTGGGCAGTCTTGGGGGCCCCCTGGGCCCCGGGGGTCCCACGGGGCCCCTGGGGACTCATGAGGGCCCCCTGGGCCCCAGGGAACCCACAGGGCCCACAGGTCCCCCCGGAGCTCTAGCTGCACTGCCCAGGAGCTCGCAGGGGACTGCAGCAGCTTTGCTGCGGGCTGCTTCTGCATCACCACAACCCCACCACCTGCGCCGTGTCCCACTGCGTCTGCTTCAGGGCTGCTGCAGCGGTTGCTGCGGAGGGGTTGCAGCAGCAGCAGCAGCAGCAGCAGCAGCAGCGCGAGCTCCGCAGGGGCCTTGGGGGCCCCCTCAGTCGCCCCATCATGAATTGGTTTTCTGGCATTCTCGGCGCTTTGTCCCGTCTAGACTGCGCTGCGCAATGCACTACATCAGCAGCAGCAGCAGCAGCAACACCTGCTGCTGCTGCTGCAGCGCGAACAGGCTCTGCACCGCCTCCCAGCCGGCCCCGCTGCACTTGTCGCAGCAGCAGCGCCAGTTTGCCTCAGCAGCAAAAGCAGCAGCAAAGAAGAGACAGAAGGAACTCCTCAGAAGACGCCGGAATTGGCAGCCCCCGAAGGTCCCCCAGTGAGCTCCAGGAAGCTGTTGCACTAGACCTAAACCCTAAACCCTAAACCCTAGGGTTTAGTGTTTAGGGTTTAGGGTTTAGGCCTTAGGGTTTAGAGTTTCGGGCTAAACGCCAAAGGCTTGGCCTCCGCTATTTGTTCTCAGTAATGCTAGTGCTGCATGCGGATGACCTAGGGTTTAGGGTTTAGTGTTTAGGATTTGCAGTGCAGGGCTTAGTCCTCGTGACTAGGCTTAGGATTTAGGGTTTAGGGTTTAGGGTTTAGGGTTTGCGTTTGCTGCCAGACGCTATCTGAGGGAAGAAGGAGATGCAGCAGGCCCCAAGAACCCCCGGCTTAGGCCGGGGGGGCCCCCTGGGGACTGGGGGCCCCCAGCAGCAGCTGGGGGGCCCCACAAGCTGCTGGACTTGGAGGGTCCTGGGGGGCCCCCGGAGGCTTCGGTTTCAGAAATGCGCTTTTTGGAGAGACATAAAAAGCCCCATGAGGTCAGCCCCCAAACCCTAAACCCTAAACCCTAAACCCTAAACCCTAAACTCTATGTGTCTGGGCCCAGAAGAGATGCCCGCTAAAACGAGCATTATACTCTCCCACGCCGTGCGAAGCACCCCTGCTGCTGCTGGTTCTGCTGCTGCTGCTGCTGCTGCTGCTGCAGTATGCACTGGAGAGGAAGCACGCACAGCACTCAGAAGAGTCTGAGGAGGGAAGCCCCGTAAGAAGCAAATTTCAACCCTAAACCCTAAACCCTAAACCCTAAGTCCTAAAGTGCATGAATAGCGTTGGCGTTCTATTTAGATATTGGAGCCAGTAACTGAACGCACGCTGCAGCCGCGTCAGCAACAGCAGCAGCAGCAGCAGCGGCAACAGTAGCAGCAGCAAAAACAACAGCAGCAGCAGCCGCAGCGCGGACGGCTGCAGGATTGCGGACCAGGGGGCATAAAGCATTTGCACCTTCTGTGCCACCAAAGCTCTTGCTGCTGCTGTTCCTGCTTCTTTGCCCATGCCTAATTCTGCTGCTGCTTTTGTTGCTGCTGTTGCTGCTGTTGTTGCTGCTGCTGCTGCTGCTGTGCGGCCCGCAGCACCAGTGGAGAGAAGCGCCGCTGCTGCCTCTGGCGGAGGCGGTTCCGTCATTGAAGAGGGAAGACCTGGAGTGAGTGGCTGCAGCTGTTTCCATTTGCTGCTGATCTTTGAATTTGAATTGCCAAAACCTTTTTATTTTATATTTTTAAATTAAATAAAGTAATTTTAATTTAAAATTCCCCTTCTATTGCCCCTATTCTCCGCTGCTGCTGGCGCTGCAGGCAAATGAGCCCAGCAACTGCGGCCGCCCCCAAAAGCTTTGGGGTGTTGGGGGTTTATAAGGCGACGGAGCGAGACTACTACAGGCGATTCTTCAGAGACAGAGACAGAGCTCTGGATGGTCAGCAGCAGCCTGCTGCTGCTGCTGCTGCTGCTGCTGCTGGGGCGGCTGATGGTGTTGCTGTTGCTGGGGCAGCTGCTGCTGCGGCGGTTGGTGCTGCTGTTGCTGCTGCTGTTGCTGCTGCTGGGGCAGCTGCTGCTGCGGCTACTGGTGCTGCCGCTGCTACTGCTGCATCTGGGGCGCGTGAGACTGAGCCTGCTGCTAGAGTCTGGGCTGCTCCTGCGGCCATCGGAGGGGTGACCGCAGCTGCTGCTGCTGCTGCTGTTGCTGGGGCTTTCACAACTGCTCACACAGCAAGCGCTGCTGCAGCAGATGTGGTTGGCGGTTGCGGCGGTGCTGCTGCTGCTGCTGCCAAGGCTAGTGCTGGATCACCAGTGCCGGCCTTCTGCTGTAAATGATACTGTCTGCTGCTGCAGTAGCTGCAAAATCTGCTGTAGTAATTCTGGGCCTGCAGCGGCACAGCAGCAACAGCAGCAACGCCTGCAGCAGCAAAAGCACCAGCAGCAGCGACAGCAGTGCACTAGCACTATAACACTATGCTTCGTGGCCGCGAAAACCTGGGAGAATTCTGAGCTGTGTTTTCCGCAGGGAAGCTCCATGAGCTGCAGCAGCTACAGCAACAGCAGCAAAAGCAGCAGCTGCTGCAGCAAGCCACGGCACGCAGAAAGCGGTACATCCCGCCCAAGGAGTACTGGTGAGCCTTTCTCAACAGCCACGGATTAGGGTTTAGGGTTTTAAATTCAAATGCGAAAATAACCCTGATTGGGGGATTAATTTCAATGGTCTAGGGTCGAAGGCCAAAGGCTCGGCGCTGCGGGGCGGCAGAAGAGCTGAGAGCTGGCGGGCGACGCTTGGACTTCAGGGTTTAGGGTTTAGGGTTTAGGGTTTGTTACGCAGGTACTCCGGGCGCCACGAGCCCCCCACTGCTCTCACGGCTGCAGCGCTGGGGGCGCGAGACCTCAAGTTTGTTCTTATGCGGGAAGCGCGGCGAATTCGAATGGGTGAGGCTTCGGTCTGGCCGCGGTGACCACCGGTGCGCAGCAGCAGACCAGTGGTCACCTGTGCTGCAGCAGCAGCGTTAGAATTCGGGGGATTCAAAGGAAGCCCCAAGGCATAGAGAGGCTTTCTCCTTTCTTTGCTGCCACCGGAGGCTTTTTCTAGATATATTAAACATAGGGCTCCGCAGCAGCAGATCTAGAGAGCCACAGGGAATGATAAAATGCTGAAGCAGAGGCAGCAATGCAGCGAGAAAGGAATGCCAATAGGAATAGGCGCCGCTCCAGCTGCTACTACTGCAGCAGCAGCTGGAGCTGCTGCTGTTGCTGGCGCGTTGGGTTCGTTTTCGTGTGTCAGTTGAGGCGATGCAGGGGCTCTGATTGCTCCTGCTGCTCTTGCTGCTGCTGCAGGAGGTCTTGCTGCTCCTGCTGCTCTTGCGGCTGCTGCAAAGGCTGCTATTGCTGCTGCTGCTGCTGCTGCAGGTGGGGCGTTTGACTTGGACGTGTGGGAAGCTCTTGAGGGCCGAGCTGCTGCCATTTGCCGCGAAAGCCGAAATGCCTCTGCGCGGTCACTCCTCAGAATGCTGCAGGCTTTTGCTGCAGTGCAGCTACCGCTGAAGCAAACTCACATGGAGGACTTCATGAGGTGCTCAATCTGGGGCTGCTGCTGCGCAGGCTGCTGCTGCTTTACACGCTGGGTCTGCTGCTGCTGCTGCTCCTGATGCTGATGCTGCTGCGGAGCCAGAAAAAGTTATGCTGCTGATGCGGCTGTCACTTCTGGCGAACTCTTGGCCGCACCTGGTGTTCGCTGAAGGGCTGCTGCTGTTGCTGCTGCTGCTGTTTCTTCTTCTGCTGCTGCGTCGGCTCCTTCCTAGCACCCTTTAGGCGTATAGTGAAGTGTACAGACGCGAGCTAGGCGGAGGCAATGTAGGCAATAGCTGTTATGGTTGCTAGCTTCAGTGCAATAGCAGCAGCAACAGCAGCAACAGCAGTAGCAGCAGCAGGGATTCGAGCAACTGCAGCAGAGAAAGACAAAGAGTGTGCTGGAGGCGTGCAGGGCTATCACAAAGAGGCAGGCAGAAATGCGCCCCGAGAATTATGTTCACCTGTTCCAGGCAAGTACCGCTGGAGCTGCTACTGCTGCTGCTGCTGTGCTGCGTCTGCTGCTACTGTTGTGCTGCTGCTGATGCACATGCGCCGTTTTTGCCGGCGCTGCTGTTCTTGTTCGCTTTTCCCTGCCTTGCTGAAATCTGCCATTTCTCTCTATGCAGTGCTGCATTGCCAAGAGCTGAGAGCTTAGAGCTTTCAGTGGGAATTTTGGGGTTTAGGGTTTAGGGTTTAGGGTTTAGGGTTTAGGGTTTGGGGTTTTGGGTTACCTGCAGGCCCTGGCACGATTGCGTCTGCGGCACCGCATTTGCCTCCTCGGGCTGCAGGAGATGCTGCTTTCTTGGGCTGTTCTGCGGAACAACTTTTTGATAAAAGTAAAGTAGACACTGAAAGTGAAAAATACACATAGGATTTAGCTGAAAGAGTATCCAGAGGCCTTTTCGGGGAACCCGCCAGTGCAGGCCGAGTCCTTAGGGTTCAGCCTTGAGGGTTTAGGGTTTAGCGCGGGGGTCTCAGGGTTCAGGGCCCAGGGTTTAGCACGGAAGGGCTAGGGTTTAGGGTTTAGGGTTTGCGCGCTAGGCGGCGAACTCTCTGAGCAAACTGGACCTCGCGACCCACGTCTTAGTAACTCCCCTCAGGCTCACGCTAGCCAGCCGCATTCCCGCGTTCACAGGTTCGTCTTTTGCTGCAGCAACAGCAGCAGCAGCAGCGACTTGTGTAACGCTGACGGCAGTGACGGCAGCAGCAGCAGCAGCAGCGGCGTGCGTGAGTGGCTGTGGTGCCTGCGCAGCAACGAACTGCCGGTCTGTTAAGTGGGTCACGGGGGTCTCATTGTTTTCTTCTGCAATGCTGGTGGACTTTTTGAACTGCGCGGCAAAGCAAGAGAAGAAGCATTTGCTGCAGAGGCACTCCAGGGACCTGCAGCTCATGGAGCTGTATCTCAGGTGCTGCTACTGCTGTTGCTGCTGCTGCTTTCGCTGTTGCGGCTAATGCTGCCGCTGCTATAACTGCTGCTGTCGCTGTTACTGATGTTGTCGCTGCTAATAGAGTTATAGCCAGGGGAGCTGCTGTAGCAGGCGCTGGAGGCGTTCTTCCTTCCGCTGCTGTCGTTGCAGTTGGTGCTGCTGGTGCTGCTGCTGTTGCACTTGTTAATAACGCTGCTGCTGTTGCTGCTGCTTCTGCAGAAGTATTTGCTGCTAGCGAGGTCGTCGTGCTGCTGCTATGATGCTCGCGCGGCAGTAACGTCGTGTAAAACATGGCGTGGCTGCTTTCGCGCCATAGCTTTTGCTGTGCTGCTGCTGCTGCGCCCTCTGCTGCTGCTGCAGAATACAGAAGCCCGAGGTGTACGAGCAGCTTGATATCGAAACCCAGTACTTTTTAGAGGTCATCCGCAACGCCAGCACCGCCAGTGCGTTTGCGCGCACACGGATGCCTGCTGAGGGTTTAGGGTTTAGGGTTTAGTGCTTAGAGTTAAGGGTCTAGGAATTGGGTCCTGTGGCTCTTCTGTAGCCTTTTAGCTGTGGCTTGTGTAGCATGGCTGTCAGGGCTGCGACCTGGTGCAGAGCGCAGGATGCAGGGCTTGGGGTTTCGGGTTTCGCGTTTAGGGTTTAGAGTTTAGGCCGAGAGCCCCAGGTTGAGGATTTGCAGGGCTGGCGTTTCTGTGTTTGTTCGCAGCGTTTAGCGACTGCAGCGACACCGAAGAAGAGGCAGAGGGTGTGGACGATTTTGCAGCAGCTGAGGTGCCCTCTTGGGGTGTATGTACACCCCGAGACGCGCCGGATGAAGGGCCCGGCTCTGGCCCCACTCCCCACAAAGCTGCCTTCCGAAGCAAAATCGAGGCAGATGCCTTCTTTACCCCTGGGGAGAGGGGCCCTCCCAGCGGCTCGGGGGCCCCCGCAGGGGCCCCTGGCCCCTCGAGCAGTGGCGGCGAAGCAGAGCTGGGCTGCAGCAAAGTTGAGGTTGCTGCTGCGACGGCCGGCGCTGCTGCGGGGCCCCACGAGGGGCCCCCCGCTGCTTTCAGCAGTGCGCTGCATGCAGACATTAGTAGGGTTCTGAACTTAATGGAAGTGAGCCATTTCAACTCCGCTGTGGCCGGTGAGCGTCATCGCTGCCTGAGTGCTGCTGCTGGAGCTGTTTCTGCTGCTGCTTTTCTGCTGCTGCTGCTGCTGCAGCTGCATCTGCTGTGAGACCGCTCCTCTTGGCGCTGCTACTGCTGTTGTTTTGCCGCTACAGCTGCTTCTGCGACAAGGGCTACTCCTCTTGTAGCTGCCGCTGCTGCTATTTTCGTGCTGCAGTTGCTGCTGCAGCTGCTTCCGCTGAGGAAGCCGTTCCTCTTCGCAGCCTCTCCTGAATGTATCTTTCATTATTCTCTGCACTAATTTCGGCTCTCCGTCGTTCTTGTTTGATTCCTTTTCTTTCTAATTGTCATTATTGTTTTATTGTCCTTTATTTTTATTGGCGACAATTGCTGCAGGGCCATTCAAAACAGACTGCTACTTGCCTTCGAAAAGACTTGTGATTGAAGGAGTGCCTTCTTACCAGCTCTACGCCAACACCCACACGCCCACAGCCACCAGCAAGCTGTAGGAGTGCCGCCCCGAAATATTTAGCCTTTTACTTATGTTGATATATATATATTATTCCTAAACATGATGCATATTATATATATATATATTGATACGTAAAATATATGCACTTCTTAAGTATATTTTTTCCTATGTATATTATATATATGTATGTATGTTATATATGTACAGTGGGGGCTGCTCATAGATCTCAAGCACTTCCACTTATTTGGTATATCTATATATATATTACGTTTATGTATATCCATATATTTATACATATTTATATACGTAGGACTGTCTGTAAGATAAGACTGTGTGCAGCCGCTGCTGCAGCTGGGGTGCTGCGTAAGCTGCTTGGGCGCTGCAGGCGGCATGAACTTCTTGCTGGAATGGGTTTTTCTGTGCTGCTGATTCACCAGCAGCACTGGCTTAACTTGAACTCCGACGAAGACAAGATGCGTTTCCTGCTGCAGCTGCTGCCAGCTGGAACCTGTGCTGCTGCCACGGCACAGAAGTGAGAGGACCCCGTGAGTGGGTGGCTGGCTGCAGCAGCAGCTGCATTTGCAGCAGCAGCAGCTGCTGCTGCGGCACACTTCGTAAGCAGCAGCAGCTGCTGCTGCTGCTGCTGCTGCTGTTGCCGCTTCCAGCTGCAGTGGGGGAGATGATTGTGGTGGCGATTGGGGGAATCGCAGCTTCTCTCTTTACGCAGCCTGAAAGCTTCTGTAGCATCTCTATAGAACAAAACTTCACTGACTGTTTGGCCTTCAGTTGTTTAGCTAGAAAGGCTATTTTGAGAATCTTTGGAAGCAAACTCTAGAGGGACCTGCGGCCAAAAGGAAATACCCTGGCGAGCCTCTTGGCTGTGTTTCGAGGCAAAAGAGCCACGAGAAAAAGCTGCGGCTGGAGAAGGGCTATTAGGGAGCAGCTGCTTATTATTTCGCCGTGACCACTGGACCCAGTGGGCACAGCAGCAGCTACTGCAGCAGCAGCAGCAACAGTCCAGTCTAGACTCTAGTGCGCTGAGAGGCACGCACAAAGCGGCAGCTACACTTTGTGCCGCTTAACTGTCCTTCCATCTCAAAGACAGAGCTGCATGTGTATGCATGCACAGATGCTGCTGTTGCTGGTACTGTTGTTGCTGCTGCTGCTGCTGCTGGGGAAGTTGCGGTGCCCTTCCTGTTGAAGACTCAAGGGCTCTTTAACCGCCATAACAGGAGAAGCGCAGAATGCCGGGGTTGCTGTTGCTGCTGCTCTACAGGCACTTAGACACAGCGCTGCAGGTGTACTAGGTAAAACGTTGAATATCTTTGCAGGTGTCGTTTCCGGCGCAGCCGCGTCTGCCTATCCACAGTTTGCATTTTATATGCACTTATTTATTTACGCTGGCATAAAACGGAATCCTCCAGTGTAAAATTCGAGTCAAGACCCGCCGTGGGCGGTGGGCAAGCGTTCGGGTCTGCCGACGGCTGCCTTCCTTGCTGAAAGCAGCTGTCTCTGGCGTGGTGTGACTCAATTAGAGTTTATTTAGATAATCTTTCTTCATGTTCTTTGCTATACGACGTGTTCCGTGACCATTTGCCGCGAGATCAGCGCCGCAGCTTCCCCTTGCAGCCGATGAGCGCGGGGCCCCCCCGGCCACATAGCGTATTTTTTGGGGCCCCCCGCTGAAGGTCCTGTTGGGATTTCGTAAAGAAGCGCAATTTGTTTTGACATTTTGCCTCTTTCTTTGAGAAAGGGCCGCATGCAGCCGCCGCCGACCGCCGCCCACCCGGAACTGAACGCCTGCAGCGTGGAAGCTGAACGAGACGGCTCTGCGGCCGAGCGCGACGGCGCTGGGCCATTTCTACTGAATTGTGGAGCCCCAAAACCTCAGAGAGAGCCTTTTAACTGCCTCTCGCGAAGCGTGGGGGCTTAAGATGGACGGCGCAGCAGCAGCAGCAACGCCTCAGTCTTCTCCGTCTAGCGCGCACGCAGCTGCTGAAAAGGAGGGCCGCGCTGCACGTCCGCAGCCGCAGCAGCTGCAGCAGCAGCAACTGCAGCAGCAGCCGCAGCAGTTTCCGCTGCCGACGCCGCTGGCTTCGCCGAGTTCTGCGTCGCTTGCTGCTGCAGTGGTGGCTCCGCCGCAGACGCACGAAGTGAGCAGCACCGGCGTGGCGCTGCTGCACCAAGAGCTGCTGCTGTACACTTTGCGGCGCTGCAGCCCGGTGTACAGGGCCTCCGACGGGCCAGCGGAAGCAGCGTCAGCCCGCGGCCGTCCCTCTTCCGCCACCTGCGCCTCCGGCGCAGCAGCAGCAGCAGCAGCAGCAGCAGCGGCGCTGCCGCTGCTGCAGAGCAGCGGCTACCGCGTGGGCAGCCGCGTCGCCGAGCGCCTCACTCTCAAGTGCTGCCGCATGCCCGAGCAGCGCGAGTGCGTCAAATTTGTCTGCAAAGATCTTTGGCACTTTTTGTTTCAAAAACAAGCTGACAGGCTGCAGACCAACAGGCGGGGGGGCTACGTGGTGCACGACGCGAGCCTGCCTTGGCTGCGCCGCGTGCACCCGCTGCCGCCGCCCGCAGCAGCAGCAGCAGCAGCAGCAGCAGCAGCAGCGGCTGCGGCCCCCGGCAGCGCCCCCGAGGCGCTGCTGCTGCAGCAGCACGAAGACGAACTCCGCAGAGCTGCTGCTACGCAGCCCCAACTCCACGTGGCCTTCGTCTGTGGGGCCATTCGGGGGGCCCTCGCAGCCCTGGGCCTCGAGTGCACTGTCACAGCCGAAGTCCCCAAGCCCCCCAGCTGCGCCTTCCAGATACGCATTTCTTCGTAGCAGCAGCAGCAGCAAGCAGCAGCAGCAGCAGCAGCTGTGGCTGGGGCAGTGGAGGGGCAGTGAAAGTAGCAGCAGCAGCAGCAGCAGCAGCAGCAGCTGTGGCTGGGGCGGTGGAGGGGCAGTGAAAGTAGCAGCAGCAGAAGCAGCAGGAGCAGCAGCAGGAGCAGCAATTTAGCAGCAGCAGAAGCAGCAGCAGCAGCAGCAGCAGGATGGCGCGCTGCGGGCGCTGCGTGGCCATGGCTGCTGAGGTCTTCGACTCCGTGCGGGATTTGCAAGACCCAGAATTCCCCGCAGAGACTTTGGAGGAGCTGCAGGTGGTGCTGCCGGAGTTGATAGTGGTGCGGTGTACGGGCACTTGCCGCATCCACAGCAGCAGCAGCAGCAGCAGCAGCAGCAGCAGCAGCAGCAGCGGCGGCGGCAGCGGCGGCGGGTACACGGACCCGTGGGCAGAGGAGGACTGCGTCAACTGCTGCAGCCGCTGCAGCAGCTCCGCCGACGGCTGCTGCAGCGACAGCAACAACAGCTGGACGGCCATCAGCAGCAGTGAGGTCAGCAGCAGCAGCGGCAGCAGCAGCAGCGGCAGCAGCAGCGGCAGCAGCAGCAGGGAGGGGGCGGTGCAGGGGTGCACGCCGGAGTGCCGCTGCTGCTGCATTGTGGTGTCTGTACACCCCACGAGCCCGCGCTGCGCCTTTGCTGCTGTTCTGGGCCTTCTGGTGAGGGCGCGGCTGGCCCTGGACTTTGCTGCAGCAGATGCAGCAGCTCTTGCCCTGAACGGGGGCTACGACAGCTTCGGAGCAGCAGCAGCAGCAGCAGCAGCAGCAGGCGAAGCAGCAGCAGCAGCAGCAGGCGAAGCAGCAGCAGCAGCAGGGCCGGCAGCAGCAGCAACAACAGCAACAGCAGCAGCAGCAATGAACGCGTGGGGCCCCCTGGACTTTGCTGCTGCTCGAGTGTCCCTGTGGGTGCGGGTCTGCGGCCACGAGAGCAGCGCAGCAATTGCGAAGCAGCTAAATGACAAAGAGAGAGTTTTTGCTGCTCTCACCACTCCAGCAATCCGGCAGACAGTGCTGCAGGGCCTGCAGCTGGAGGAGCTGTAGCAGCGCTGCTGCTGCTGCTGCTGCTGCTGCTGCTTGCTGCTGCTGCTCTGCTGCAGTTGCTCTGCGGCGGCGGCAGCGCTGGCTGCGCCTGGAGCAGGCAGGCTGCGCTGGGTGCCAGAGCTGCCGCTGCAGCAGGAGCAAAGTCTGCTGCTGCTGCCGCCGCTGCTGCTGTTGTGACTGCTGTTGCAGCTGCGGCCGAAGCCTCTATTGCTGCTGCAGCTGGAGCTAATGCTAGTGCTGCGGCTGCTGCTCCGGCTGCAGAAGCTGTAGCCGCGCCAGCTGCTGCTGGCAGCAGTTTCTTAGCAGACTGAAAGCAAACACTTTGCTGCAGCTAAAGAGCAGCACAGCAAAGATGAAACGCAGAAGATAGTTCAGTGTGCAGCTGAGTGTAGTGCTGTAGTTCGGTGCACCGGTTAGAGGGTGTGTGTTGCTGTGAGGGTTCTTCATTTCCTGGCGAGGGGAATAAGACAAATTTAGTAAATGTTTTTAATAACTTTAAAAGTAGATTTATTTGTAAGTATTTATAAGTGACCCGGTGGTGATGCAACGCGGACACAGGGACTGCTGCGCAGTTGCGCCTTCGTTTGGGGTCTATGGACAGATCTGGTGTCGCAGAGAATGTCGTGAACTGCTGCATACGCAAGTTTTGAATCTTCATATCATTTCTTTTATTTGTTTTGCGTTTTCAAGTCAATGCGTTGCTTGCTGCATGCAGTGGTGGTCGGGGGCCTCGGGGCCCTCAGCCCGGAGCTGGCTTCTGCTGCTGCGCTCATCTGCAGCCTGCAGCTAAAGGAAATGGATAAAAGACGAATAAAGTGTTAAAATAACTCTCAAGATTAAATTACACTCCACGCTAACGCCACAGAGAGCAGCGTGGGGCCCCCCGTCCCTCCCGCATGCAGCAGCAGCTGGGGGATCGGGTTAGGCGTTCGCCGCTGCTGCGTTCTTTCTGCGGATTTGGACTTTTCTTCAATCCCAAATATTTATTTTAGTTTTTAGGACTTCTGAGTCAGTAGGCGGCTCTCTTCGAAGGGCCACTCCGGGGGCCCTGGCGATTGGGTGTGAGTCTGCTGCAGCGGCAGCAGCAGCAGCAGCAGCAGCAGCAAGAACAGCAGCAGGAGGCA